TAGGTGAAATATTCTATGGATATCTATTAAGTCCTTTTGATTTATAGTATGTTTTAGTTCTGAACCATCTTTGTTGATTTGGTCTTCATGACCTATCTATTGCTGACAAAAATGTTTTGAAATAACCCAGTATAATTGTCTTGGGATCTGAGCCTTTATGTCAAGTAGTGTTTTTTTATGTAATTGTATGCACCAATATTTGAAGCATAAATATTTACTATCATTATATTTTCCCATTGAATTATTCCATTTGTTAATATGTAGTGATATTATTTGTCTCTCCTGATTCATTTTGGATTGAATTTTGCTTAATGAGATATAAGAGTAGACACACTCTTTCTTGCTTTCAGTCTCCATTTGCATTGAATATAATTTTGCATTCTTTCCCTTTAAGCCTATGGATGTCTTTGCCTATGAGATATATCTATTGCAGGCAATACATGGGTGAATTTTGTTTTTTCTTTTCTTTTTTAAAAAATCTGTTTATTAGTTGTTGACGGACCTTTATTTTATTTATTTATATGTGGTTCTGAGAATTGAACCCAGTGCCTCACACATGCAAGGCAAGTGCTCTACCACTGAACCACAACCCCAGACCCTTGTTTTTTTCCTTAAATACAAATTACCAATCCATGTCTTTGAATTGGAGAATTGAGACCATTTACATTCAGTGTAATGATAGGGATGTCTTTATTATTTTAGCGATTTTGATTTATTCACAATGTTTAGTTTAACCTAATATTTACTGCATAAGTACTCTTCTAAAGAGATTTATTCTTCCTGAGCACTCTTGCTTGTTTTATCAATGTCCCTCCATGTGTGGGATTTATTTAAATATCTTCTACAATGCTGGCTTAGTATTCAAGAATTATTTTATTTGTGCTTGTCTTGGAAGACTTTCAGTTCTCTTTTGATACTGAAGGATAACTCTGCTGAATATGGCAATCTTGGTTGACAGTTATTTTCTTTGGGGGCTTGAAACATTGCTCCAAGCTCTCAGATTTGAAGGTTTCTTCTAAGAAATCATGTAGTAGTCAGTACAAACCACAAACAGTGTTGGCTAGGATGTGGGGAAAAAGGTACACTCATACATTGCTGGTGAGACTGCAAATTGGTGCAGCCAATATGGAAAGCAGTATGGAGATCCCTTATAGAAAACTTGGAATGGAACCACGATTTGACCCAGCTATCCCACTCCTTGGTTTATACCCAAAGGACTTAAATATAGCATACTAGAGGGATGCGGCTATATCAATGTTTACAGCAGCACAATTCAATAGCAAAATTGTGGAACCAACCTAGATGCCCTTCAGTAGATGAATGGATAAAGAAAATTTTATATATATATATATATATATATATATATATATATATATATACACACACACACACACACACACACACACAATGGAATATTTACCAGCATTAAAAGAGAATAAAATCATGGCATTTGCAGGTAAATGGATGGAGTTAGAGGATATTATGCTGTTAAGTAAGCCAATCCAAAAAAACAAATGTTGAATGTTTTCTCTGATATGAGGATGCTGATCCATATTGGGGATGGGGGACATGGGAGGAATGGATGAACTTTCAATAGGGCAAAGGAGAGGGAGGGGAAGGGAGGGGGCATGTGGATAGGAAAGATGGTGAAATGAGTTATACATCATTACCCTAAATACATGTATGAAGACACGAATGATGTGACTCTACTTTGTGTACAACCAGAGGCATGAGAAATAGTGCTCTGTATGTGTAATATGAATTGAAATGCATTCTGTTGTCTGTTGTCAAATTACAATAAACAATTTTTTAAAAAAAAAAGAAATCATGGTATTCTGATTGCCTTACCTGAAAATATTACCTAACATTTCTCTGTAGAGGCTTTTAAAATTCAATTATTTTTCTGTACATTTTGGTATTTTAATTACAATGTGTCATGGAGAGGTTCTTCTTGGTCTTATCTACTTGGAGTGCTAAATACATCCTAAAGTTTTAGAAAATGCTCTGCTATTATTTGAAATGTTTATCAGAACCATTCACTTGTATCTCTACTCATACATCAGTGCCAAGGAGTCCTATACTTGGTCTCTTAATTCTATCCCAGTGTTCTTGTATATTTTTTTATTAATATTAATCGTGTTTTTAAGAACCATATATTCAAATAGAGCACAGTCTGAGGCCCTGGACATTTAGAACATCAACATATGAGATCTGGTGAGAAAACACAATTCAGCTGGTAACATAAAATAATCCCCTGCTGAAGACAGACTCTCAGGATAGGTAATACTGAGTAAAGGAATATCCACTTGTAACAGTTTTAATAGCTACAGTCTGATTACATCACTTGAGGGTGGCAGAAACTACATTGCCACCAGATATTTCTGATTGTTGCTGCTTCTATGCAACCAGTATTCCCTAGGTGTTTGAAAGAAAGTTGGAGCAGGACTAATCACACACATACCTAGGATGAAAAAAAAAGGATTTATTTGTCAGAAGTCTAATGGGCTGTTCTGTGCAGACAAAGAGAAAGCAGTAGCAACTCCCTCCTGAATGTTACTTTGTATGGGTTAGAATCATGGCCAAGTGTTAGGGGCAGGTTTATTCCTGACTGACCTAGTAAACATCACCTGATCTTGGGGACGGCAAGTGTGTTTCTTGGGAACAAAGATAGACAGTTTTCCTATCTCTCAGAGGGGGAACAAGAAAAGCAGCACGTCTCTTTATCTTCTCAAGTAAAGAACAGAGAAACCAGTACATTCTCATCTCAGGGGCCAGTAAGTTGTCTTCTATCTCCCAATGAGAGAACAGAGAGAGACAGACACCTCTCCAGACAGGTAGGTTTTATCTTGGGCTAGATTCTATTTCTTGGGAATAAGAAAAGTATTCATAAAGTGGAGGTGGGGAAAAGGAAGATGGCTGAAATTATGCTAACAGTGTTGGCATTAAAAAAATTGTCTAATATCTCACACATGTGGAAAATAAAATCACACTGTTCCATTACTTTAAAATTTTGAAGCAGATAAACTCGAGTCCCCTTTCAGTTGATTATCAGTCATTTAGATTTTTTTCTTCCCTGAGTCATACTTAGACTCTGGATCCTGAAATGTACTTTCTTGCATCCTCCAAGCATTTGTCCCTATTAGGAACCTGGGTTTACATAGGTCTATTTCTGAAGACTTCCCATAACATAAAAGAAGGACAAGCAAGTGTGTTTCTTAAGTCAAAAGATACTCCTGGAATATCTGCTCTAGTCTCTCTCTTTAAAATGAGGAAGAAATAATATTTCTCCAGACTGATATCCCTTATATCAGGAGTAAGTCAGACTTCAAGCAATATAATAAGAATTTCATACAATTTTGTATGTGGGCAGTTCTAAATTATGACACATGGTGCTGAGAAGCCACTTAATTCTATTTTTTAAAAAATATTGGTTCTTTTTAGTTATACATAACAGAATCCATTTTATAATTCTACAAACATAGAATATATCTATTTCTAGTTAGAATGTCATGTTTGTCAATGTACATGGTCGTGGAATTCACTGTGATATTTTCATATATGTATATAGGAAAATTATGTCAGATTCTATTCAGTGTCTTTCCTTTTCCTATCTGGCTCCATTACCTCAATTCCCCATTGTATAATCTAATAAACATCTATTCCCCACCTTATTGTGGATTAGCTTGCATTTATCAGAAAACATTCAACCTTTGGCTTTTGGGGGCTGACTTATTTCGCTTAGCATGATAGTCTCCAGTTCTATCCATTTACTGGCAAATGTCATAAAGTCCTTCTGGTTTATGGCTAAGTAATATTCCATTGTATATGAATACCACATTTTCTTTATCCATTCATCTGTTGAAGGGTACCTAGGTTGGTTCCACAACTTAACTATTGTGAATTGAGCTGCTGTAAACATTTGATGTGGCTGTGACATTGTAGTATGCTGATTTTAAATCTTTTGATATATATTGAGGAGTGGCATAATTTGGTAAAATGGTGGTTCCATTCCTACATTTTGAGGAATATCTATAGTGCTTTCCAGAATAGTTGTACCAATTTTCAGTCTTACCAGCATTGTATGAGTGTACCTTTTCTCTTACATCCTTGTGAACACTTATTTTTACTTGTGTTCTTGATAATTTTCATTCTGACTGGAGATGAAATCTCAGCGTAGTTTTAATATGCACTTCTAAAGAAGCTAAAGATGTTGAACATTTTTCAAATACTTGTTGAGATTTTATATTTCTTCTTTTGTGAAGTGTCTGTTCAATTCCTTTTCCCTTTTATTGATTGGTTTTTTTTTTTTTTTGGTGTTAAGTTTGAATGCTTTACATATCCTGGAAATCAATGCAGTATCTGAGGTGGAGGTGGAAAAGATTTTTCTCCCATTCTGTAGATTCTCCATTCATGTTCTTGAATGTTTCCTATGCTGTGAAGAAGATTTTTAGTGATGCCATCCCATTTATTGATTACTGATTTTACTGCTTGGTCTTAAGGAGTATCATTAAGGAAGTCATTTCCTGAGCCAATATGTTAGAGTGTTGGGCCTTCATTTCTTCTAATAGGTTCAGGGTTTCTTGTCTAACAACTAGGTCCTTGATCCAGTTTGAGTTGAGTTTTATGCAGGGTAAGAGAAGTGGTTTAATTTCATTATACTGCATATAGATTTCCAGTTTTCCCAGCACAATTTGTTGAAGAGGCTATTTTTTCTCCAGTGTAAGTGTTTGGAGCCTTCGTTTAGTTGAGATAACTGTATTTTTGTGGGATTATTTCTGTGTCTTTTATTCTATTCTACTGGTCTTCTGGCCTATTTTGGTGCCAATACCATGCCGTTTGTGTTACTATGACTTCCTTAAGCAGTAAGAGATGGCCTTCTTTGTTCCTTCTGGTTAACTTTGGCTTGAGGTCCACTTTATCAGATATAAGAATAGAAACACCTGCTTGTTTATAAAATCCAATTGAATGTTAAATTTTTTTCCCCATTCTTTCTCCTTCAGTCTGAGGATGTGTTTGCCTATGAGGTGAGTATCTTGAATATAGCATATTTTTGGTTCTTGTTAATCCAATCTACCAGCCTATGTCTTTTGGTTGATGAGTTGAGTTCATTACCACTCAGTCTTATTATTGAGAGATTATTTTTATTTCCTGTAATTTTTGTTTTTAGTTTTTAAATTGAATTAGATTCTCCTTTGATATACTGTACTTCTAGTGTACTTTCATCCTCTGCCAATTTTCATTTGTGTTTTCCATTTCTTTCATAAAATATTTTATTGAGTATGTTTTGTAGTGGCAGCTTTCTAGTTGTGAATTCTATTAACTTTAGTTTATTGTGGAAGTTTTTGATTTCATCTTTAATTCTGAAACTATATCTTGCTGGGTATAGTATTCTTGGTTGACATAAATTTTAGTTTAGAGCTTGGTATATATTGTTTCAGGACCTCCTAGCTTTTAGAGTCTAGGTTGAAAAATCAGCTGAGATCTGAATTGGTTTACCCTAAATGTGACCAGTTTTTTTTCTGTAGCCACTTTTAAAATTCTACCCTTATTATGTATGTTAGTTATTTTCAAAAAATAGTGCATTAAAGTGGGTCTGTTGTAATTTTGTATATTTGGAGTCCTTTGTGACTCCCGTATTTGATTTTCCATTTCATTCTTAAGACTTGGGAAATTTACTGTTATTATTTCATTGGAAAGAATGTGCATTCATTTACTTTGTTATTCAGAGCCTTCATGTATCCCCATGAATTTTAGATTTGACCTTTTAATGCTATCCCATATTTCTTGAAAATTCTTTTCATGGTTTCTTAACATCATTTTTCCATGGTCAACTTTATATTCAAGATTATGTACTTTGTCTTCATTGTCTGAAAATCCATCTTCCATATGGTCTAGTCTATTGGTGATGTTTTCCATTGAGTTTTTAATTTGTATCATTGATTCCTTCATTTTGAGAATTTCTGATTGATTATTCCTCAGAATTTCTCTCCTTAATGAAGTAATTTTTCACTTCTTGAATTTTCATTTTATTTTAATCCTTACATCATCTTTTATCTTGTAGGTTAGTTTTACTATAAACTTTCTAAATTACTCTTCTGACATTTTCTAAATTGTGATATTGATGGAATCTATTGTTGAGTCATTCTGGTTTGTTCTCTAGTTTTTTCATATTATTTGTGTGTCTACCCATCTATCTAAATGAATTTGAGGCAGCAGAGCTTCTATCTATGATCTTTTTGTGACCCTTTAGGTTTTCAGTGCCTCAGAGATTAGGGGAAGCCAAATAATAGCAAAAAACCTATGCACACAATGTATAAAAGTAAATTAAGTACTTAGTTCCTATTATGGCTTCTACACTATTAATTGACACATTAAAAACAAATGGTAGGATCAGAAATTTCTGACAGTAAAGACAGTAAATAATCATGGATTTTATCTGGCATGGAATCAAACAATAGAGGTTTTCTTTTTTTCTTTTCTTATTTTGTTGTAGATGGACAGATGGCTTTATTTGTTTGTTTTTATGTGTTGCTGAATATGAACACAGTGCCTCACGTGTGCTAGGCAAGCACTCTACCACTGAGCCACAACCCCAGGCCACAGTAGAGGTTTTCTATGATTTCCATTGTATTGATTTCTGCTATAGCATTAGGGGTCAGGTCTGGCATTTTATAAAACAATTAGTGTTAAGAAAAGTTAAGAATAGAGTTAGTTAAGATGAGAGAAGAAGAGATCAGAGGGTAGAAAACAGTTTACAATTTCAAAAGGTGAATAGGGAAGATGCAGAGACAATGCGGGATATGTTGTTTTGAGGAGGGAGGAGAAAAAAAATGAAGTCAAAAAATTAAAGGAAGAGTGAAAGATAGAACAATAGAGTTTAGATATTAGAAAGAGAAAAAATAGAGAAACAAGGGAAACAGAAAATACAAAACCAAACTAAAATATATGAATCAAAAACCCTAATAAGGAAAAATATCTGCTTTCAAAAAATGCTAGAAATGAGAAAGCAGAAACAAATATGTATATGTATAAACATCCATGAATCAATGAATACACTTTCCACCAATACTAAATAAATAAATAAGAAAAATAACAGACTACTGAATGGGAGTATATATTTGCTGTCCATTTCTTAGTTTCCTTTCTCAGAAGAATGGTATGAGGTGGGATGGTAAGTGCTGTGTTGGCTCCACTACCAGGGTATAGTTGCCACTGGGTTCTGTGAGATGAATTTCTGTAGATGAAGCTCCTAGGGGCAGGGCTTAGATCTAGTATGGCCCCAGGTGTTTTATTGTGTGGGCAGTAGTTGGGCTATATTAATCAATGAACCTCTAGGACTTACCTAAGGAAGTCTCATAAGGGCTCCACTCAGGGACAGGGGAGTCAATCCTTCTCAGCTTCTGTTTTACCTGGATACTGCCCTTCCTGGCCTCCAGGGGTCTGGCTCCAAGTGCTGTCACTCCCATCCATTTGATTCCCCCACCTACTGTCACTAGTCCTGCACGCTGCCAGACTCAAACAAGGGGTGGGAGCTGGGCCCTCCCTGGTTTCCCTGACCTGTGTTATTACCCCCTGGGAAAAATACTCACAGTGCCTAAAATTCTCTGGATTTGCTAGGCTCAGTCTAGATCCCTCAGTGGTGTGTGCCAGAATCATTGGAATCATGTATTAAACTCAGCCCTGAACTCTTTGCCTTGAACTCCAGGTCATTTTTGGTGCTGCTGCAGTGTGCTTGGCCCAAGATGGGGCATGCCTCAGCTCCCAGGGCACAACTGGAAAACCCAGGGTGTCTTTCGTGCACCAGTTTAATGAGCTGAATAGCCTTAAGGCTTTCCCTTCCATCTGATCCTGGGATTCTCCACACCAAGACTATCCGTGCTTCTCAGCCTTTTCTAACATTGAGTACTAATCCCCATGTTCCTGCCAGGAACCCAGCTCCAATTTTGTTCCTTTCCCTTGTTTAATGCACCCAAAGTTTACAACTCTCAAGGCTCTCTGTCCAATATTGAGTACCAGTGAAGTCTCTTTGTCATCCACCTCAGAGAGAAGAGTCTCTATTTGAGTCTTGTCCATGATCTTTTTTCCCCCTCCAGTTCTTGTATATTCTGATCATGGTTTCATTTTCTTTTTTCTTTAATATTCTATGATTAATATTCATAATCATATTATGAATATTAATCATAGAGTATTAAAGAAATTATTAATAACCACCTTGTCTTCAAGCTCTGATATTCTCTTTTACTTGGTCTAATCCATTGGAGTGATTTGAATTAAATTATTGATTATCAAGTCTTTTTTTTTCCTTTATTTTATGCAGCACTGAAGATTGAACCCAATGCCTCACTCATGCTAGGCAAGCACTCATCCACTGAGCTACAACCCCAAGCCTTAATTATCAAGCCTTACATTTCAAGATTTCTATTTTTTAGTATCTTTATCTCTTTATTTAAATATTCTTTCACATCCTGTGTTTTCTCCCTTAGTTCATTCTTTAGATCTTTTTAAAATTGATTAATCATTTAACAATCAACTTTTTAAATTATCCATCCAAAATTTCACCCACTTTCCTTCTTGTGGACCATTATTGCAGGGTTATACACTTTTGGGAGTATCTTATTCTCTTGTTTCCTTATGTTTTCTGAGATTATATATTTGTGTATCTGATGCAGTGGATTCCTCTTCTTCCTTTTTTATGTGAAGGCCATTTAATGACCAGTTATCTCTTTATAATAAATTCTGTGCTGGATGTATATGTTAGCTGTGTAGACATTGTGTAGAAATTGAATAAGAAGAACCACCCCCAGTAACAGTAGTAGTTTAAAAGCAAATTTAAAAGCAAACCATACATGAACTTATACTACAACTCAGTTAATGAGAAAAGTAGGTGAGAAATAAAATAGTATAGGCTGAGAATAGTAAGCATTCAGGGTTAATTATAGTATGCTAAATTGAATTGGAAGATGGGTTAAAATTAAAAAGAGAGAAAAAAGAAAAATGTAAGGGAGGGGAGGAAAATAGGAGATAAATTGAGGAGAGAAAGAAGGATGAAGGAGGGGGAAAGGATTAGGGACAGGTGTAAAGAAAAGAAGTATTGGGAAATAATTCAATTAATTGACAAGACACATATAATTATACAGAACTCTGTAAAAGCACAAAATTAGGGAAAAACCAGAAATGACTTTACATAGATCAGTCAATCCAAAAACAATTATGAATACATTCAGTTTTCTTCTCACTTATTTTTAAAAATATTTTAAAGTGGTTGATGGACGTTTATTTTATTTATTTGTATGTGGTGCTGTGAATCGAACACAGTGCCTAATGCATGCCAGGCAAGTACGCTACCACTGAGCCACAACCCTAGACCCCTCACTGATGTTTTTTAAAATGGTGACATTCTTTCCAGTGTTGTTTTGATTTTAGAATGATTCACTTGTGAGTAGTTTGTGGGACTTGGTCAGGAAGTCTGGATGCTGAGCTCTTGCAGCAAGTATTGGGGGAAGATCGTCCCTTTCCCAGTAACATTCATCCATTTTATTGTGACCAGGGATAGGCATATAACGTTGGCAGAGCTGTTGGCCAGCCATCTCATTCACAAAACCTGGGAACAATGCAGATTGCACTAAACTCCTTCTTCCAAGAGCTTCAGATTGTGTTCTGGGGAAGATTTGTGGGAAGTATCCAGATCTATTCTTTTGATTTGATCTCGAAGGCATCTATAATATGCTGTGCTCTTCTAATCTGCCATTTCACCTGCCACAGAACTGATTCTTGAAGTAGAATTTTTTATGTTTGCTTTTTAAAATGTCCAATTCAATGTTCTTCTACTATCTTTTCCCATATTTAAGGGCATTTTGAATTGTGAGATTAACTTCCAAGGTTCTGTATACCCCAGATCACTCAAAGTTGAGAGTGTCATCATCAAATCTGTAATTGATCCACAGCCCACTTAAACAGAACTCATTTGTCATCATCCCTCTGTATGATGGACAACTCTAAATTTTTTGTAATAGATTCATAGAAT